ATGAGTGCTTCAACCACTCAACTTTGTGCTTCCTGTATTTGTAGGCACATCTTATTCCTGACCTGTGCTCTGTGACTTGGATAATTTATAGGAACTATATACATGGGGAAGAATAGATGAGGAAAGTCCATAAGTGGATATATTAGCTATGTAACTAGAAAATTTGAGAATGTGTCAGTTATATGATTACATAGAAATTACATATTTATCTACTTATACATAATAATTTTTATATCCAAATGTACCAAACATCCTAGAAGAGCACTATTTTTGAGGTATTCTCAAATTTTCATTAATGAGAACTTAGAAAATTTATGTTTTAAGAAGGTTGATTTAGTTCACAGGTCTTTTCTTCCTTGATAGTGTCTTAATTTGGGTAACATGTGTAATGCATGGATTTTCAAAATAAGTTGCCGTACATAAACGCAAATGCACTGGGTGCTTTTAGTGTGAGAACTATATGGCATTGATCTTTATGGAGAAATGATTGTTCAGTAGTGTTAGGACCACTAATTAGTTCTTGGAAATAATAAAGCTCACTTTGTATATGGAAATAAACTTCAGCTTGATCAAAGATGTAAATGTGAAAATAAAACTATAGAAGTACCAAAAGGCCAGATGGGGGTAAGGAGTGTCGTGTGAAGAGAAAATGTAGCATATGTCTGATGTTAAATCGCAGATCTGTGCAAAAACAAGTTTCCAATTCTATCTAATGAAAACTGTAATGGTCTCGATTCCCAAAATAATAAGTAATAAACTGTGGAAGGTATTTTTAAAACAGGTCAAGTAGATTAGTAATTTTCTTTCTTTATGAGAAGCCAAACGAAAAAGCATATTGACTGTATGGAAATAAAGGTGCTGATTTTTGTTATTGTTGGGAACACAACTTGGGAAAACATTTTGGAAGTCAATTTTGGCGTTAGGTAGCAAAGCAGCAACATGCGCGAAGTAGTTGATCTAGCTGCTCCATTTGCACAAATGTGTTCTCAATGATATACATGAAGATAAATGTGCAGAGATGCTCTTGGCAATGCTGTTTAGCAAAAGTCTGGAAACAACCTCAGTGTTCGCATAGACTGCCGGCTGAAGCGTGGTACTGCCATTGAAAGGAGCGTAGTGCAGGTGCATGAAAACATAAGAAAGATGGATGTTTGCTTGTGTATATTTGTAAATGAGTAGTGTAGGCTGGATGACAATATGATAGTCTCATTTTTGTAAATGTGTTTCTAGATTTGGAAATAAACATTTTTACTCTTTGCACAGCAAGTTTACAAAAGGAAACATGAAACACTAAACAGAGATTATAGAGAGTGAAAAAAACCAGATCTTATTATTTTCATTGTACTTTTGTCTCACTAAATTTTTTAAGTTCTCATATTAAGTCTAATTATTTTAGACCATCGTACCCAGTGGAAGAGATAGAAGAGGAAACTATTCCAGAAGATGATGCAGAATTAATATTAAATAAACTGGATGAAGAATTTGTGGTATGTGTGTTGTTGAACTTCCTTTTCATTTTTATCTTGAGTTCCTTCCCTCAGTTCCCTTACACTTGCCTTCATTTTCTGGAATGTATTTTATTTAATGGTTTCTAGAGGAAAAAAGCTTTTAAATACCATGCCCAGTATTAGTGGTTTAGATCTTTGATTAAGTTCATGTTCCTGTTCTCTGGTTTTAGCAAAGGTTCTTAAACTATAAAAGAATA